AGCAGTGTTTTTTTTAAGTATGTTCTGGTGGCATTGTAGGGGTCAAATATTTAATGTCCTATAAAGTATATACAGTATACGTGAGCAGGAATTGGCTCCATACAGGCAATTTCATATCAACTTTCAATGATCGGGCAAAACAAGAGGCATTTTATTTCAGCGCTCGTTCAATGAAACTGATAACATGAATGAACCCCTGATGCACTGAAAATGTCTCTCTTAACAGCTGATTACTTCCAAATACGTATAGATTGTATCTCGAGGTAGGGTATAGCTATGTTGTATGCTGGAGGCAGGCTTAACCCACATTCGAATGGGTTTAGCAGCACTCCACGGGCGGCAAACTACGTGGTTTACTTAATGATACCAATCATTTATTTTACCCTGCCATATGAATGATCATTCGGCCTCTGAGCTAGATTTTTAGAAATGTATACTTTTTTCAGGTGTAAGCCTATGGACTCGACTACGTGTCAAACATAAGCTCTCTCGCTCTTCTAAACCTCATTAGAATTTACATTCTTCAATTATTCACAATCGTCTTGATGCATTCGATAGGACTAGTTGCCCTGTGGCTGCATTTGCGGCACTAAAAAGCTATGCTGCCTGCCGAACATATTTGATCACTGTATATGCTTTGGCCTTAAATTAAAAGGGAAGTTATTACATTCAGGCCCTGTGCCTTGCATTTTAGGCCCTGGGCCATGCATTTTAGGTCCTGGGCCAAGCATGCTTGGCCCTGGGCTATGCATTTTAGGGCCTGGACCTCTTTTCCTTAAAGGCCCCACCACTCCCTTACGCATTAGGCCCCACTCCCTCCTGATGTAGGCCCCACCCCTCCTCTTTCCGTTTTGCAGCAGTTTACTTTTTTGAGGATCCGTCCCCTTCTTCTTGAGGCTACACCTCTTCCTGTTTAGGCACGGGTCCCCTTCCCCCCCAGACAGATGGGTTGGGCTTCTTTGGGTTGCTGAAGTGGTGGGGGCATGCAAAATCAGCATTCGTAGTCTTCTTCTTCTTCTTTCGTATGGATTAATAGTAGCAGATTAAAGATGCAATTTTAGATTGCATCTTTTATCCACTCAATTGTCTGTTCAAAAAGAGCGTGCATCTCGTCCAGACAGCGGTCGATGGTTTGGGACTCGTGGCCGCGCTCGAAGGCCTGCTGAATCTTTGGTGCGCCATTTGTGCATCAGGTGGCCACATTGGCCATGCCCGGTCCTGATTCCAGATTCGGTTGATGGAAGACCATTAACGGCATGGAAGGTTGAAACCGGGAGGATCTATGGTAGGGTCCTGTATGAGATGTTGATTTTTGACGTCGGCCGCAGTCTAGACTTGGTAGCGGTGGGGGTAGTTGGCTGGAAAATTTCAAAACTACAACCAAAATCCCCCTCTTCTTGGTTCTTTTGGTAAAGTCACGTAGAAGGGAAGTAATAAAATAATAAAAATAAAACATAATAAAACAATTCTCACGACGTTTCGGCCACAACGCAAGCAGCCGTCCTCAGGCGAAGAATGAAGCACCACCAAGCTTGGAGCGTATATTTAAGCTGGGTTAGAGGGGGGGAGGTGGGAAGAAGAGCGCCTAAACAAAATAATTTGCATATCAAGAGGAATTCAGCATATGGAAAATGCGTAGGAGGTGGGCGGGGGGGGGTTCCAAATCAATACTATGCCCGTGCATTATGCAGGATTAGCAGCATCAAAGGGGGGGGGGGGGTAGCATTAACAAAGGAAAGGAATGTTAATAGTATGTAGCTGCAGTTACTAAACAACCACGTAAAAAAATAAAGTATAAACTGCATAACAAACTAAAGTATAAACTACATAGCATCATCAGTATACTTACTATACTCTACAATAAGTTGAGTTACTAACAGTAAGTAATACATAAAAAAATTTCTACGTTGTAAAAAATTATATAATATGCTTCCATCTAAACTTTATTCTCTTACATCACACGCGTCTATACCGTACTATATACTGCCATAGGCAAACCCAACATTAAATTACAGTATGTAATTTGGAAGCATATTATATAATTTTTTACAACGTAGAATTTTTTTTATGTATTACTTACTGTTAGTAACTCAACTTATTGTAGAGTATAGTAAGTATACTGATGATGCTATGTAGTTTATACTTTAGTTTGTTATGCAGTTTATACTTTAGTTTTTTACGTGGTTGTTTAGTAACTGCAGCTACATACTATTAACATTACCTTTCCTTTGTTAATGCTACCCCCTCCCCCCCCCCTTTGATGCTGCTAATCCTGCATAATGCACGGGCATAGTATTGATTTGGAACCCCCCCCCCCGCCCACCTCCTACGCATTTTCCATATGCTGAATTCCTCTTGATATGCAAATTATTTTGTTTAGGCGCTCTTCTTCCCACCTCCCCCCCTCTAACCCAGCTTAAATATACGCTCCAAGCTTGGTGGTGTTTCATTCTTCGCCTGAGGACGGCTGCTTGCGTTGTGGCCGAAACGTCGTGTGAATTGTTTTATTATGTTTTATTTTTATTATTTTATTACTTCCCTTCTACGTGACTTTACCGAAAGAACCAAGAAGATGAATCCCTGCAGTCACGAAAGCTTTAAATCGAAACAAAATCCCCCTTTTAGAGCAGCAATATAATGGAAGATTGCAGCCTGCTTCAGAAATACACCGTCAGGTAATTTGAGTGATGGTTGGCCACTCTTGAGCACAGATGCTAGAAATTATACATTCTTGTGATTGGAACAAGCCCCTTCATAGAGCAGTCACATGTAGATTTTCCTTAGGGATATGACTCGCTGCGAACCGGGTATATAGGATATATGAAAAGGCATCTTCAAAAAACTAGAAACTCTAATCGGCAGTCCGCTTTCATCGATTTCTTCGACAAATAAAACTTTTTGGCCGTTTTGAAAGAATTCCATCCTTCCAAAGCTCCTGGCTGCTGAGTGTGCATGGTCAGCTCATGCTGAAATTATTTGAAGGGCAAAAGCCCACGCGAGTATGAAGTATCTTCCGTGATTACAGGCAATGTGCACTGACTGTGACACGCGGGGAAAACGAGCGACAATTTATTGAAAGAGCACGGTTTGCGGCCGGTTTCCATATCTCCGTTCAAAGCGTGCGATGCTTGCCATTGATGCCAGCTTCAATGGCTGCTGCAAGCGGGCGTCGTTATACAGCGTCTTTGAATTAGGGTTGATGGATCACGCAAGAGATGGAGCCGATTGTGTCTGTGAGCTCAGCTGTAGGGCAATAAGGTTGCGGTTCATAATCAACGATTTTTGGGTTTAGATCGCGTTTATTTATAAATGTGTCGTAACCCTCCACCACCCGACACGGCCAATCAGTAAAAATGTGTCACGTTGACAAAGACAAATAGTTCACTGCTTTAGCCCACCGGTGTGTTGAAGCAACAACATTTACAATTTGAGTACGACGTTTCGCTGGTAATTGCAACCAGCATCATCGGGCAACCAGCATCATCGGGCAATTACTGATTGGCCGTGTCGGGTGGTGGAGGGTTACGACACATTTATAAATAAACGCGATCTAAACCAAAAAATCGTTGATTATGAATAACATTGGTCGCGAAAGCCTACGTGTTAAAAGGTTGCGGTTGTGGGTAGTACACCAAGTAGGTCGATGACCTTGCCTGTCCCAAATGTTATAGCTCTTCAGTCACACGCACAGCATTCACCAAATTTGCCTCCTGAAAACTAATATTGAGACTCGGTTACTATTGCATCGGTAAAATAATAATTATAAAAAATTACATGAGCGTATTCGTCTTGGCTGCACCATTAAAACAGATTAAGAGTGGTACACCTTTACGTATACGGAGGGCAGTTTAAGAAAGAGAAGAACAAGTGTTACCTCTGTTGACTGCCACTTGTGTAAGTGCCTGGCGAAAATGCATTTAGTATCTGTTCAAGCTGCTGAATCCAACAGAGACAATGATCTGCGATGTTTTAAACATCTAAGTGAAAAGAGGGAAACTTGTTTAGATGTGAGACATTGCAAGAGCAGACGAGAGCTGATGTAGCATCTGCCAAGGCATTGTTGCAGTCAATTTGTGTTCATGTTTTACCAACAAAGTCTGGATCATCCTCTGAATAAAGCCACCTTTCTCTGCACCCCTCTCAACCTCCTTCTCAATCTCTTGTTCAATTGCTCTCGCCGCTTCAGTCCACTTTGCCTTCCCCTTTCTGCATTTCATTGTAAAGCTTTTCACTCGCTCGTTTGCCATATTACGGTAAAATGGAGGGAAAAAAACATCACGTATATTTGCTTATTTTCCCAGAAGCAGCACTCACACTCAGCACTTAAATTAGTAAGGCACTTCTTCCCATTAAGGTTATTTGTCATTGCCAATGTAAAACCAACACACGCACACATATATAAAGTGCCTACACTTTAGTGACGGACAGGTTCAAACACGAATTGCCAGTGGTCGTGCGTATGGTAAAGATGCAGCCCAGCTATTACTCATGCCTCTGCCGGCAGATGGGCTTCCAGTAAAGAGCTTGAGAGAGCTCTTCTACAGGGTGTCGTCCACTGGCCAAAATGTTTTGAATAGATGGGAGTGCCCACTCTTTACCCCACCACACATGACCCACTAATCAACTAATTGGTGGGCTCATCATACTACTGGGTAGACAGAGACAGAGTGGGATTTAAGTAGCTTGCACCATTGTTAGGAGATTGAAATGAAGTGGCGACCGATAGTAGCAATATATGATAAATTAGTAAATGATTGCTTGATGGTCAGTCGTGATTGGAACAAACCGGTAAGAGTCCATCAACACGTGAGATGCAGGGGTTAAGTTGGCTTCCAGTTGGGATTTAAACTTACGATATTGCGATCACGAGTCAAGCTTGTTTTTCCAAGTGGGGCTTATGCGGGATAGAATGAAGACATATTGAGCACATGCACGTTTGCCATCATTTGCTTGTGTTGTGGTTGTTACAATGGACGGAGTGAATGGTGCGGTTTACAAACTTGGAACATATGCCGGGTGGTTCCACTTGTTATCCTTGCAGCCATTAACCGAGCCCTGAACGAAGTTGGACACCTCGTTCATGTCCTGAAGGAGAGCACAAGGCGGCGGACAATCAGATGTACCCACAATGTAACGACCGCGACACTTGGATATGTATTGTGTGTATGGTGTGGAGATGGAGCGGCAGAATCATCTCCTACAAAGGTGCCAGGTCGATTGATGGATCGCAGGAATGTGAAATATGGTGAGGCCTTGGAGAGGCCTTTGTCCAGCATTCTCTGCGGATTGTAATGTTTTATTCTGTTACACGTTTTTGAATTGTGTTTTACAATATACTATATAATTACTACTTCGTACAGTTACAGAACAGTTTAGAAAGTGTCAGAGTAGATTACACTCTTTAAAAAATATGGCCATGTCATACCTGTCAACCCCTTAAATTTCGATTTAAAGCGTTTGTGACTGCAGGGATTCATCTTCTTGGTTTTTTCGGTAAAGTCACGTAGAAGGGAAGTAATAAAATAATATAAAATAAAATATTATTTAATATTATTTTATTATATTATTATATTATATTATTTTATTATTATATTATTTTATTATGTTTTATTTTTATTATTTTATTACTTCCCTTCTACGTGACTTTACCGAAAGAACCAAGAAGATGTCAACCCCTTATCAGTGCCAACCTTATTACGGACCAATTCAGACCTTATTGGTCACCCCGTGCCCTTATAAATCTCAACGTTCATCCTAAAAAGTCCCATCACAAGGGAGAAACTAAATAAATACACTTTTTTTGCCTGTATTGAAACGGCTGTACGCCGTATGGACGTGAAAACTAAATTTCCCTGTACAAAAATACGGGTAAACCGTATGGGTTGACAGATATGCCATGTTTCTGAATGCAGCCCCAAGTTATATTGCCACAGTCATTGCATGATTATCACATTTTAGATTGCAATAGTCAGACAGTCATTATGTTTTCTACACAGTAGAGCATATGATTAATTAGCAGAAATTAGGTATTACAGTATAACAAGATGTGTACGTATAAAGGTTTGGGTAAAAGTATAGCTTGTCAATTCGCACACTTGCCAATAAGCCTGTTTGTGTATAGTCAATGGATCAATTGCTGCTATAGTGACACAATTAAAGAGAAGGCATTCTTATTATAACCTCTTATTCTTATTATAACCATTGCACACGTAGGCTAACATACATGTAACAATTTAACCATTCCGTGCTATTATACATTATAATTATTAATCATTTATTAAAAATCTTCTTCTTTCGAATGGCTGCTGATGCAGATGCAGAGCAGCAACTACAATTTCATGTTCTGGTGATCAAGCCCAGATAACTGCGTCAGGAGCAGTGGAGTAGTGTATCGTACTAATGGGGGGTTTTACCCTTTTATCTGGCAACAAAACTGACACCTTTTGCAAGGAATCATGTTTACATTACCACAGTACTTGCAGTCAAAATGCAAACAAAATTATCAGTGTATTGTTTTTGTTTGCATTTTGACTGCAAGCATTGTGGTTAATGTAAACATGATTCCTTTGCAAAAGGTGTCAGTTTTGTTGCCAGATAAAAGGGGAAAACCCCTATTAGTATATTGTGATGCTGGCAAAGGAGGCCTCATGATGTAGATGCTTACCCCGAGCTCTCATTACTCTGATAGTGCATTGTCTTTGAACTGTGCACCTTTTGGCGTCATCTGGTCGAACACCATATGAGACTAGGCTCTAAGAAAAGCTGTCTCTGGTGTGGACCAATGAAATTCAAGGACAATGCATACATTATCAGAGTATTCATCTTCTTGGTTCTTTCGGTAACGTCATGTAGAAGGGAAATAATAAAATAATAAAAATTAAACATAAAATACAATTCTCACAATTTTTATTTTTATTTTATTTTATTATTTCCCTTCTACGTGACTTTACCAAAAGAACCAATAAGATGAATCCCTGCAGTCACGAAATCTTTAAATCGAAATATCAGAGTATTTTTTTTTGCATTTTGACTGCAAGTATTGTGGTTAATGTAAACACGATTCCGTGCAAAAGGTGTCAGTTTTGTTGCCAGAAAAAAGGGGAAAATCCCTATTAGTATATTTTGGTATTGGCAAAGGAGGCCTCATGATGATCGTGTATCGTAGTGATATCTCCTTCTTGTTTGTGGATCGGGCATTGGGTTGTTAAACATTGTAGGTCTATTCTGGATGAGCACAGTCGCACACTGGAGAGTTTTATTTATTTATTTTCCATTTGTGCATCTGCCATGAATGATTAAAATGATAATCACTGTCGTTTCTTGAGATAGGTTCAGCAAAAACAATATAGAATGTCGTGGCAGACACAGGGGTTAGGATAGTGATAGATGTGTGAGTGTGTGGCTTTCGTCTTATGTCGCCTAATGCTGCAAAAATGTGAGCCAAACGCTGTTAAAATGAAGACATTTCTCCCGTGGATTTCCACAAACCCCTTTGAGAAGGACAGAAATCTCTGCACACCTCCCCCGCCGCTCACTCCTAATCCCGATTCGCATTGCATTTGCCAGCCCAGGGCACTGTTTGGGTCAATGTCTGTTTAACCTTTTCTCTGTGCTCCTGCACAAAATGCGGCCCACGAGCTGAATCGCAGCTGGAATCGAAAACAATGGTAACATCGTCTCTTGCTTCAAAAACATATATTCTGAAGCAGAAGATTTGTGCTGGATACAGTCACATTTGCGAATGAGATTTTGTAACGTTGATCATTCCCCGTGTATCGATAGTTCAATGTTCATGTGCTGTTTTATTGAGGGACTACCGTACGGAGTTATCTTGGTGTGGTCTGGGACTGTGTTGTTGTTGTTTTTGCTGCCTTGCCCAATTTTTATGAATCGGACTTATATAATGTATGTAACGTATTTCTATTTAGTGACTTGCTTACTATTTTCAAAATGTTGCACTCCCATCGTTGTTTTTGTATTGTTTGCTGTTGTAACTCGCGAATCCGCCCATACTGGACATCTGTGAAAAAGAGCTTCATAGCTCATCGGATTCCTCCGTTGGAAATAAAGATCTGGATCTTTTTGGCCGATAGTTAAGAGCAATATGAGATTGGCAGCCAAGGAATCATGGTGCGTGTCCGAGATGTAATGCACAGAGAACGCGGAGTGATGAAATCAGTTCGGTGTGAAGTTGCTGGGTGAATTTCTGCATTGTGAGGTTGTGAGAGTTGGTGGTAGCTTGAGGAGGGTTGGGTAGAGACTGTGGCTGATCATTGTGAGAGGTCTCTTAGTGGCTGCACTTGGCAATGGATGTACACGTTGGAGAAGCAGAGTTATGTGTTCATATATAATGAAAATCTTCAATTAAACTACTAGGTAACGCCCACTGAGCTATATCGTTCTTTATCTGACCTGGCCACAAATGATAGTGGCTCATCATGTGGAAATGTATTGTAGCCAAATACTCTAATATTACTACTGTCTGCATGTTTGCAGTTGAGCTGGATAGCTCTCTGATGTATTTTTGGGTGGGATTTTTTCCCCAAAACGTAATACATTTCCTGAAGAAGCTTCCAGCATGTGAAACTAAATGTTGGACATAATGCAATACACTTCCCCTTGCAACTCGCAAGCACATCGCATAATGCCGTTCCGTCTCCACATATCCATACGTCCATTTGGCCTATTGGCTTTTCCAGACCAATATTACCCATCAGCATTTGTAAACAAAACCCTGGACCGGTTTCCACCTTCTGGGTCTCATTAGGAGTGTAAGGTTTGTTCAATAAATGCTTCTGGGTCACACGGTGGCATTGGCAAGAGTACTCCCATCTAAATTAGGGGGACCGGTTCAGATAATCGTCACTGGTGTTGGCCGTGAGCGGGAATCAAACTCGGGTCGCTGGGTTCGTAGCGCAGCATGCTTACCGCTACACTACTGCATCATCAACACACGTACAAATACGTACACGTAAAACTCGTCATGCGTCGCTGTGGAGAATTATGGTTCAAATAGCATATGAGCAAATCTCTGTGTCTGCACTTACTCCTCCCATTCGCACAGTTGGCTACGTACGGTGCAAAAGAAGTTCAACATACATGCATATAAATGCAAATATTGTTACGTCTATTGGCTTCCGTATTGGGTTTCCAGATGTATTGAGGTGTGTATACGCGCGCATGTGTGTGTGTGTGAGAATGTATGAGAAACTCACAATCCAGAAGCCGTCGTAGGGTACTTCGTTATAAAACTGCTCACATTGCTCCACCCACCACTGCACGCAGATGGGGTTGGTATAGTCTGGGAAGACAGTCAATCCTGGCCACACCTGGCAAGACAGCACCATCGACAGCAGCAGCAGCAGCAGTATTAGCATCCGCATCGTTGTCATCATCATCATCATAACCACGATCCACCACCATAACCCGTAGCAGCAACAGCAGCAGCAGAATAGTAATTACCATTATCATTTTAATATTGTCAGCAATGATCTGACGGTCACTGCATCGCCCACTTTCAGATGCGCGTATGTGGCCGTCTGGAATGCTCTTCTTTGCGATATTAGGAAACCACTGAAGGAGCTATGCACTTTTAAATCTATATTGAAAACTAATTTGTTTAGAACTGATTTTTGCGTTTCGTTTTTTGCCCTTCCCCTGCACCTCAGATTTGCATAGTTGGCTACGTACAGTATGCAAGAAGTCCAAAATACGAACATCTATCTACTGCTGGATGAAGGCCTCCCCAAGCAATTATCGTCTCTCATGGTTTTCAGAATGCAAAAATCCATTCAACTCCTACACATCACGTCACTCCACGTCGTTCCATCTCCCCGGCGGACGTTCTCCTGGACACGTTCCCTCCTTTGGCTACCAATCCATCGTTAGTCTTGACTAATGCCCATCATTTTTACTTGTTTAGTGATTTTTTGTTGTTGTTGTTGCGATTTGCTAACCTTTCCTATACGGTGTACTCCTATCGTGTTTTTTGTATTGTTTGAATTTTTTGTAACTTTCTGCGGCGTCCCTCCTAGACAACTGTGGAAAAAAGCTTCATAGCTCATCGGATTCTTCCAGTATAAAACGAAGATTCCGATTCTGATAATCCCTTCTGGCAATGCATCTCACCCTATCCCGCTCAATTTCTAAACAGAAAATGATCCACGTGTTCCTCTCTCTGCCAATGAATTTCCAAGAACGGATCTCTCTCCACGCTTATTTGCAGACTCTTCAGCTTTTGTTCCATGTTCAATGTCACAGCGTCCACGTTTCTAATCCACTTGGTGTGGCAAGTAGTAGTGCACTGAATACACCTTACTCTTTAGGCAGATTGGAACGTTGCATTTAATGATTAAGGTTTTCTAAAAGCACTCCAAACTTGCTCCAGTCCACCACTACATTTCATCATTCTATTACCGGCCCAACTTTAATAACCACCATACATTTTCCGTTCATGCCCCCTCCAAACAGCAAACGTGTTGTACCCGATTTATGCTTCGCTCGTATTCATGCTGAGTCTCCACTTTTGTAGCGATCTCTTTTCGCGTGACTTTATTAAGTTCTCGAATCGTTTACCGTGGTTTATTTCCATTGGTTGGTCAGAATCGTCTCCAAAGGTCAACGTTACTTCGGTGAAACGTTATGAATTCGTCACCTTTTGACAGCGCCGATTGCAATTCGAAGCGACGAGCTGAAATACAACTTTAGATCATGTAAAAAAATCCAACGATGCCGGGAGCTATGTGGATATCTGAATTGCGAGGCCACGAGAAATGGCAATGGCTTTAGGAGGGCCTTCATTTTTTACTCATACTTGTAAAACATTTGCATTACAAAACCTTTCACCCTGCAAAGTTTATTGCGTGTAGCAAATCACGAGCGGATAGAATCACACCCGGTATTCTCCACAGTGATGATGGACGGACACCCAGGGTGTGTGAAGAGCCATTGACCTGCATGGGAAAAAAGCCTCCCCGACTGATGTCCTTGTACCGGTGAATGGGGCGTCATCAGGGTTACAATTACCATGATGGTTACACGACAGACCTCCCAACTGGTTTGACAAAAAAACGTGCTCAAGAAAATTTATAAAAAAGTTAAAGTAAGCATAAGAACAAGCCCACTTTCACCGATATTCTGAAGGTACTTTGTCAAATAAAATCTAGAAGATGCACGAAATCCTGTGCAATGTTATATATCTGAGAACACTTGAAGGAAATTTTGCTTAAATATTGTGAAGGGATCGTTTGTATGAAAGTCTGGCTTAAACGAAAATGGAAAAAGCTGCCCACTGACCATCATTATTGAGGTTATTATTAAACATGCCATTCAGCACTCGCAACGGGTTGTGCTTGAAAGTATTTTTAAAAATAAATGCTCGCCCTCCCCGTTGACTTTAACAGGCCCAGTGACGTAGTGGTGCTACTTCAATTCACGTTTTTTTTTCTTGGACACGTGTGCAAGCTGCGACGATCAGTTACTCGCGTGATTGCCCTGCACATTTGTTCCAGGTGAAGATGAGTGGCATGCTTCAAAGGCATTCAATAACAAGTTAGCAATAACTTGTTATTGCATAGAGTACTCTTCGGCTAATAAACACCTCAATGAATTAGTCTCCACTGATGGCTAAAGCAGCAACACTTGGTGGGGGCGATTTGATTTCATTGTTCCACGCCCACAGGTTGCAAGCCCAGTGAAAACCACTTTGCAGATGAGGTCAGATGTGGGGGCAGGTGTGACGTAATTGGCACGATGACGCACGCCTGTGATCTCAGGGCTTTGGAGACCCAGCGATCATGAATCGTGTAGATTTGTGTAGCTTCTCAACCAGCGGTTCTTAACATTCACTGTGGCGTTGCACCCCTTTTAGTTCTCAATCGTAAAAAAAAAAGGAAAATGTTCATAAATACGTGAGCAAAGTCGTTGTACCGACGTGCCCTCGCTTAATTTGTGTTTCGATGATTTCCCTTGTAAATAAAAATCTGCCATGTCCCGCACCCCCAGAAAGGGCATCTCGTACCCCCAGCCGGTGCGTGCACTCCCGATTAAGCGCCACTGTTCTAACCCTTTGGTGGATTGCAAAGTGGCCAGGACATGGGTTTATTTGGACAGATTGGCAACGATCCTTCTCTGTGTTCAACTTTTGGAGAGCCATCTCTTTTTGTGCGTGTGAGGTTTTCACCGCTGTACTCCAGACTGGTCCAATTTACAAACTCTAAAACTTGGAAGGAAATTCACTGAGTTTTTTTAGAGTAGTAGTAGGTTTTTATCCTTTCAACTGGTACAAAACTGACACCTTTATACAAGGCATCATGTTTGCAATAACCGCAACACAAGCAGTCAAAATGCAAACAAAAAGAAACAACTCTGATAATGGTAATGATATGCACTGTCCTTGAAGTTGATTGGTCCACACCCGAGACAGCTTTCGTTAGAGCCTAGTCTCCATTGGTGTTGGACCAGAAAGGCTTGTGTTGCGGTTATTGCAAACATGATGCCTTGTATAAAGTTGTCAGTTTTGTACCAGTTTAAAGGGTAAAAACCTACTACTATATTTTGCCACTGGTAAAGGAGATCTCATAGTGTAAATTCTTTGAGAGTGTTGAGGTTTAGCGAGGCTTTGTGTATGACCCACGTGGCATGGAGAGGCACTCATCCAGAAGTACACGTAAGTGCACATTATTATTACTGTATTATTTTACTCCACTAACTTAAAAAGTAACACCCTGTCATGTTCCATCTTTCTCCTCAAGGGCTGCTGTTTGTGATTTGCGAATTGTCAACCATATGTATGCAGATCTAATAGCAATCAAAAATACATATAATTTCAGTAATAAAAGTAATTTTCAGATGAAGAGGAAACTGTTGCAGATGTCAAATTAGAATAAGTCAACTCTGCTCCTTTGCATTATTATTAACAAAAAAGGGAAATATTTTGGACCAAATGGCAAACCTGTGAAGGCCATCCGAAAAAAGTGGTACTAATTGTAAGAACTGAATTAGTAAACCTATTTACGAAACGTTTACTCATAAAATAAATACCACAATGACATAAATATGCCCCTAGCATCTTCTGGGTGATAAAACTGACTTGGAGAATGAAGGACGCATGAGCCTCTGATCGTACGTGTTTTCACAAAAAAATATTGTAAACACGGTAATAGGATATTTTTTAGCCCACCTAACCACATGAGCAAACTAGGCGTTCCGATTGACTGCATGAATTTCCACTCTGTCAAGTGCCTTTTGACAAATGTTACAGACAATGGTGTTTGATATTCACTTGTCTTTTCCCAGGATCTGATCGACAGTGTGCATCTAAAGCAACATACCAAGGTGCCGAAAAATGAACTATTTTATAATTGCAATGGAACAAGAGCTGAAGGGAGGGAGCACGAGGAAGTGTGGCGGGGTGAAATTTACCGTCCCTCCTATTAGCGCCATTGGCTACATACGGTGGAGAAAGACGTTCAACATACATACAGGCCATGCACAGCTAACCCGAATCTACACTATACACCAGTGGTCCTTATTAACCTGGGATGCACGCTGCACCCTCCGGGGGTGCGAGATGACCTTTCTGGGGGTGCGAGTCATGGACAGATTTTTTAGAAGGTAAATAATCGAAAACACAAATGAGGCACGGGCACGTCAGTACAACTACTTTGTTTCATCAAACCTATGTATTTATTTACATAATCTCTTTACGAATGAGATCCAAAGGGGTGCAAGGCTGCAGTAAACGTTATGATCCATTGCTTCATAGGGTTATAATAATGCATGTAAAATGTACGTGCGAATTGTGGCTGAAAATGTATTTTTCCTTTTCAAGAAGAAGAAGAAGAAGCAGAAGCCCATCCTCTTCCCTTCCACTGCTCATACCCTTGGCCAGCGTTATCACACGTCATTGCAATGGTCCCCTGCACATTGCAATGAAGCATAACAACACACAATGCAGACTGATGAGTCAAGAACACAGGAACCAAATTGCATCCGGCGTCATTGTTAAAATGTTGCAGGACATATTGCACTCAAAGCGTCACATGGCAGAAGACCCACTCTGGAGATTTCCCTTGTGTGCACATATCATCAGCTACAACCCCTACATGGTTGCCTCTCATCGGCCACTACACTGCTGTGCTCAAACAACATTGAGGTCATGCATTCGGACCCAAAGAGACCAATCCAAAACAACCGCCAAATCGTTGAGCAAAAGGGGGGGTCTTCTCCTGGGCTGAGCTCCGCCGAGTCACAAGGTCTGGAGACGGTGCCGACAATATTATCGTGACCTCTGGGATGCCACGTTAACGAGCGTCGGCGACAGCTCCGTTTCTCACGGAGGGTCTCCCTTATCACTTGTCAAATTAAGGTGCCTATCGACCGTGAAGAAATCGCGGTAAAGGTCAGCCTCGCACCACGGCGCTTTCATGCCACGGCAGGCAGTGGGCCTCTCTAGTTATATACGGTGGATTCCGACTTCACTCTTCCATGCCAGCCACATCTGTTCCTAGAGAGAGAGAGGAAATCCGTGGTTTGATGGACCATGAGGTGGTTGCCTGCAAGGGGCAAGCAGGCCCGGGAGCTTCACTAAATATCTGCGTTGGGTTCGAGTGTTCTTCTCCCTCCTCTGTCGTGCTGGACACTCCTTGTTGCATACCGCATGAAGGGACGTGTACAAAATAACGAGAAACTTTAAACGTACTACTATTTTTATTTGACCAGGTAAGGTCCACTGAGCTATATAGCTCCTTTTCTGAAGCGACCTGGCAACAAATGATAGCTCAGTGAAGTGGCTTATCACGTGGAAATGTATGGCAACCAAATACTTGAGGCGCATGTAACTAAATGTGGAGGAGAAAAAACAGAGGACCTGGAGAAAAATCCACACGAACACGGGGAGAAGATGCACACTCCAAACTTACAATGGATGTCAGGGTTGGGATCGAACCCACGACTTCCTCTATGAGACATCTCCTTTACCAGTGGCAAAATATAATAATAGGTTTTTACCGTTTCAACTTGTACAAAAACTGACACCTTTATACAGGGCATCATGTTTGCAATAACCACAACACAAGCAGTCAAAAATGCAAACAAAAATAAATAACTCTGAAAATGATAATGATATGCACTGTCCTTGAAGTTGATTGGTCCACACCCGAGACAGCTTTTCTTAGAGCCTAGTCTCCTTTTGGCGTCATCTGGCCCACGACTTCCTGTCTATAAAGCAAGATAGTTAACATCTCGCCACCGTGGCACCCATCGACTGTTGGATGAGGACACTCCCAAAGCGTGGTGGGCCATGAGGAATATTTGACCATATTCACCATGCTGGTTAGTGTGGGTTGGTGAATGGGGTGGGGAGTTCAGCGCAACAATGGATTTTTCTGTGCTGCCCTCTACTGCCCACAACGCCTACTCCACCTGTCTCTCACGCATGGTGGTCACCCATTAACTGACCCCTGCCATAGAAATGGCAAATTTCCACCACTCACTCAGGACCACGAACGGAGACGACCACCAACAAGACGTCCGTTTTTTGATCAAGGAGACCCGTGGCGTTTTTTTTCTCACACTCCGTCCCCTTTTTCCCCGATTGCATTCCGACTCGCTCTGTTGGCGCGGAGTCCGGAGATGATCGGGGCCAGCTATCTCTGCGCCGGTGCCCGACTCGCACGTGCGTTGCGCATAAGGGAGGCACGCGCGTGCGTGCCCGCGTGTGCGCGAAGTCGCTGCGTCCCAGCCACGCTCGGCTCGCTCACCTCCCCCACCAGGGGTGTGCTGCCATCGGACTCGTTGACCCAGGCGCCGCGCTGCGTGCCCGTCACGTACGGAATGTACTCGCTGCCGTTTCGCCGGCGGGAGGTGCCGATTGCTGGATCCTGGGTGAAAGTTAAAGAGGGCGAGAGATTGTTAGCAGCGAGACGGCGACCTTGTCTTATTGTTGCGCTTGCTTTACCGTGGGACAGCATTTTACCGAGTCTCCAAGGCTCTTTTAAATAAGGAGGGCCCATGGGTTGTTGTTTTTTTTTCTTCAGTGAAACACACGAACGGATAGCCTCATAGAGGACAAAAGACACGTTCTTTAAACGAACACGTGTTACAGAAAAGTTGAAAGAATACGCTGGTGTGATGTATGTAGCGTATGTATGTTGAACTTCTTTCGCATCGTACATAGCCAACCGCGCTAATCGGAGGTGCGGGAGAAGGACGGCAAACTCAACACAAAAAAGCAGTTGTAAAGAAACGAGTTTTCAATCTATATTGAAATGAGAATACGGGGAATGTTCTACAAGCAAGGATTACTGCGGAGGAAAGTGGCGTATGCGTGACATCCACGAAGAGGGTCACAGTCGGAGAAATGACAAGGATGTAAGAGAACGTGAAAGGAGAGAGGAGAAGAGGAATGAAATGGATCAGCTGCTGTGACAATCTGATCAGTTGGATGGGACTCAGTTGCATGAGAGACAATGAAAATTGCAAAAGATTGAAGGGATCTGTCACATTCATCAGTCATGGCAGGTCGACGTCAAGGCTGGTATGACACACATCATGGCCAGCATCACACCTCGCCATCTTTACACACCACATTAGGTTGAGTGAATCCAGAGGAGACTTGGGGAAGGTTCTGGTTATTATTAAAGAAACGATAATAATAATACCAGCTATGTGTCGTCGTAATCTTGGTTCTTTCGGTAAAGGCACATAGAAGGGAAATAATAAAATAATAAAAATAAAACATGTACTGTCACTTGGGTGGATGTCTCAATCATATCATTGCTGAATATTCGCCTGTGTAAATAAAGTACATCGATCAAATCCGCCAGTTTAGTAGGTCTCCTCTTGAAGAGTGATATAATCATTGTAAATGGGGCTTTCACTTGACGAGATCAATTGATGAAAGCAATCGGCGAGTCGCGGCAGATCGTTAGCAAGTTCATGCAAACAGACACAAGAGAGAGAGAGAGCGAGTGCACTGACACCGATTTCCACGGCTAGTGATCGGAATCCCGAAGAAATAAACTTGGAATTGATTTCACGCCCAGTTTTCGGGCCGAGGATAGCGTCATCTCCCACAAAACCCGACAAACCGATGCGAGGCTACTCTGCACTCTGTGGCTCATAAAGCGTGAAATGAAACGACGGACGATATGCACCCCCATAACCCACGACTCCAAAATCCCGTGACGTCCCCTGCTCATGATGCTCATCCATTGCTCCTGTGCTCATCCATTCATGGCTTTCGCTTATGAAGATGATGGGTTTAAACATCGCAGTTCTATTCTCCTAACAATCAACCCCACCCCTATGCAGGGACTGGGTGAAAGCAGGACCTTTTGTGTCCCTAGCGTGGGAGCTTAGACTTAAAGGGGACCCCAAAAAAAATTGAAAGTGCTTCATAGAATATTATTTTATTTTCTACCTACGTGACTTTACCGAAAGAACCAAAAAGTATGGATTCCTGCATTCACAAAAGCTTCAAATATAGATTGCTTCATAATGGTTGAACTGCAATTATGCAGCACTAAGATGTATCCTTGAGTGTCATTTGATAAGTATAATGAAAGCCAAAAGCATCGCTTTTTTACTTTCCACAATAATAATATATTTTTTTCATTATAATACGGATTTAGTGTTTATATATTCTACTTAATATCTAGTACTGAAATAACCAAGGAAAATCATAATCGAGTGGTTGGCATTGAGTATTGGCAGTGGTAAAGGTCCCCAACCGAAACATATAACAGCATCGTGCCCCCCCCCCCCCCATCAAACCTAATCTGGCCCTGCCTCTACGCCCTCACTGCATGGTTGCGCACGCCTGCAGTGTTACGCTGTGAACACAGGGTCCTGCAAAGGTCAGGCTATGTTGTGATACACCCCCCCCCCACCAACCAGCGGGATTGTAAGGTGGCCTGGATTTGGCAGTCAACTAAATGTCTCTCTTACCAAGCTGTGTGAACATTTGCGTGCCAAATGCCTTGCAGTCACAGGTAACTTCACTTTCCCCGTCTACGCCAGTTGTTTTGCTCACTACATACAAAAATAAACTGGGCAAACATCCTCCCAAAGCACGGTTCTCTTTAAAAATAGACTTGAGACTCAGTGAGGATTTTCTCCATAAATACATTATATATCTATATTTTTGTAAACAATCTTATTCAGGTTTAAAAGTTATATTTTCATCTGTGTTGTACAAGGCAGTAATTTCCCAAGTAGCATAGGCAGCTAGTGTGCTCTTTGCACAGCAATGAACATACCAGGGTCGTGAAGAGGGCATATAGAGGCAGATTCAAAATTAGCATTGTAAAATTAGTAAATGGTTAGGTTTAGCCAATTGCCACGCAGTACCCAATTTGATTAACAGGCGACACGATCACTGGAATTAAGGTAAAAATACTACTCGCCAATTATGCTTGCTAACGGCATCATTTCTCAATAATTGTACTGCCACGTTTGTGCGTTTGAAGTTTGAGATGATTGGCAGCCTGATTTACTGTGTACACCGAAGCTGTTGCTTATGCACTTCCCGGTACATCGGTGAGATGAGTTCACAGGGCTTAATTTCAGACTCTTATGTTTTCCGGAACGCTCTTGGGTGACGTGAGGTCACATGTGTGACATTATTTAACGTCACAGACATTGGTGCGCCCCTTTGTTGAAGACAACGACGGAGGTATAATCGCAGCGGTACACTCTGTTTGGAGCACTTCAGTGCAAAATAATGGTCATCGTCTTTACGTCAACATCAGCCACGCAAAGAATGACAAGGAGAATAAGAAAAAAGCATCCGTCAATGACCGGTAGCGGGTAGATCTCTTCGCAATTCTGGCAAAAGCGCCCGGTGATGCCAGATGTAATTGCCAGCGAAACGTCACGGTACTTAAATTGTAAATATCGTGGATTTATTCTCCCACACACTGGTGGGCTCGAAGTAGTAACTAATTGGTGACGTTTTGTTTACGTGATAAAACCTTACCGGTTGGCTGTGTCGGTTGGTGGTGGGTTCACGACGCATTTTTATTGACGCGATCAAAATCTAACCTTTATTGTGAATATTGGTCGCGAAAGCCGACATGTCAAACATTCATCGATAACACTGTGGCCTGAAAACCGAAAAACGGAAGAGGCGACGTTTCGGGCAACAGCCCTTCATAGCACGTTAAGATAGCTTAGCTGAGGGATGAGAACGTTAAATGCAAGCGCTGTTATTCAAGACATCGAGTAAGCCTAAGCACTATTCACCAACACATACACCACATGGACGATATGAAGTGAGACGATGTGGCGTGCCAAAGTAGTTCCAGGAACAGTGCTGCGCACTGTTGCTGCTGAAATTAATCATCGGGAGGAGTGCGAGTGAATGTGAATTCGTGCTTAAATGCACCCATCACGAAAAAAATAAAAATACACTGTAACTTTCCAGGCCAGCGTTCACCTGTCTTCCTTTTTAAATCCTTTATATTAAGTTCACTTGCTTGCTTGCTTGCTTAGGACCGTGCAAATCTTTCGGTCGTTTTTTAACCCACTTCCCGTGATGCAATCGAGCTGACATTTTCCATACAGACTCGTTGTGCGTGACAATTAATTTTCGTGAAAAAATTTTCCGTAATTTTCCACTTTTTAGGAAAAAAATAATATATTTAATTACCAATTGCTTAATGGTGCAATGCAATCATCTGACCCATAGGTGGCAGCCATCTCAAGCCAGAGGACGAGAGGACTCTAGCCGATGCCACGCATATAAAGGATTTATAGTGAAAAACTTTGTTTTTACGGGTTATACTTGTTTTGATGACTGGCTCGCATTTCTAATTATTAGACAAACACAGGCCGGACGTGAATTTGGTCGACTCGGTTCAGCCAAGGAGGTGAGTGATTTTTCAGCGAAGGCCTCTGGTCTCATCAGAAGCATTCGGCGGGTAACATTCATTAATTTCCAGCCAGGCAATTGCCCAGCAGTTGCTGCTCCACTCTTTACGTTTCCCACCGAATGAAAATCAAACCAATAAACCTGCACGAGCGTGTCCGTGTGCGCAACTGAGAAACGTGAGGCGAAGTACACAGGCCAACGCAGATTGGGGTCACAAGTGCCAACACGCTTGCTAAACCCAGCAGCTTGGCAGCAAAAACCCGGCGGTGGTACAAACCAATTTCTTAACTTCATCGGTTTGCTTCGCCCCAATCCCCCCCCCCACTCCCGCACAACACGAAAAGGTGAAGGGAGATGAAGATTTGGCATATTTCCACGGGGACACACCAAAGTCTCGGGTAGGTACATTTGTCCATCGGGGACCTTGCAAACGTCTTATCGCAGGAACGTTCAGCTTTCACACATCCAGAGAAGCCATCTCACGGTAGAGCTGCTGCAAATCGAATAAGGGGCAGCAAGCTGATGGTGGGGTCTGGTTTCCTGAAATTGGCCAAGTGCCCTCTGAGTTCATGATTTAGGATGCAGAAAGATTGGGGGCATGCAAAGGACGGTAAGTAGACCGCCAGCATCGTCGACTTCAACTCCCTGTCTTCATTTTGTACACGGGAGTATACAGTAAATACCTCGTCAATGCCTACGATTTGACAATTTACCATCATGTGGGGCTGATTTAATGCAAAAATTAATTGTTTTGTTTTCAAAATTTTGACTCTCCTTTCCCCGATTCGTCTCATATGTTCGAGTCTGTTTTTATCGCCCTTAATCATTTCATTAGCCTAAAGGTGAATTATGTTTATTTGCATATTACATGGGTATTGTAAATGGATTTTTAGATTCACAATTAGATGCACAAATTTTGGGCATGATAATGTATTTACATACATTAATGGTTGTAGAAGTGTGATTTTTAACCGGTTCTCGGTTTTTAATCTAGAGCCCTATACGTGT